GTCAATTTATTATCCTCTAGGCTATTTCAGACCAAGTGAAGCATTTAGGAATTTGTTTTTCGAAGCTGACGTTATCTGCTTTTTTACTGATTCACCTCAGTTGCTCTGAAATTGACAACAGAGCTAAACCAAAATGATAGCAATAAAAACCTATCCTCAATCCTGGGACAGGCACAAAGGTACACCTGGCATGTGCCTGAATAAAACTGAATTATATCAAAAATTTTTTAAAAATATATTTCTAAGATAGATGCTGACATGTGACCTTTGAGGTAGCTAGATCATAAAAATCTTAGCAGAAAATAATCAAAGTATAGCATTAACATCATTTTGTTTTAGCTGATCATTACTCATGACAGAAGGAAAATGTTACTGGAAAAAAGTTTTTGAAGAGATATTCTGTTTTTCTTCTGTAAAAGTTTGAAGAAAATTAAAGTGGAAGTAACAAATGCCACTGATAAACATGTAGTACAAATGTAAATGGGACAGAAATCTGTAATATTTTCACTGTTTATAAAATAATGAACTAATAACTACAGGGGGAAAAACTGAGTTTCAGTGAAGGCAAGAACTGCAACTTATTTTATACCTCTTATACCCCAGCATAAATTCTGACATTCAATAAGCAATCAATAAATATTTTAATAGAAATTTCCCTTATGATTTTGGGAACTCTGGTAGCACATAGTGCCTAAGGCACTTGACTGTTAACCAGAAGACTGGCGGTTCAAACCCACCAGCCACTCCTTAGAAGGAAGATGGGGCAATCTACTTCCGTAGTGATACTGTCTCGGAAACCCAAGGAGGGGTCGCTATGAGTTGGGTCCAACTCGACAACACATAACAACAACAACAACAACAACACTTACTTTTTGAAAATGTCCCATCCTAAATAATTTTAAATTGAAAAAAATTCTAAACTTACGACATGAACTTTATTTTTAAGGCTGTATTTTCTACCAATTAAAAAAGAAATTAAAAACAGCAATTGAGCACTAAATGAGAAAATAGAAAGGGAGAAGAACTAGGAAATCTGCTAAGAAATCAGAAAACAGACAACAATGAGATACCACTACACACCTATTAGAATGATTAAAATCTGAAAACACTAAAAATATCAAATGCTGTTGAGGATGAGGAGCAAGAGGAACTAATTCACTGCTGGTAGGAAGATAGTGTAGCAATTTCTCACAAAGCTAAATATACATTTTACCATGTGAACCTGCAACCATGCCTGATTTACTGAAATGAACCAAAAACTTAGGCTCACACAAAAACATGCTCCTGAATGTTTATAGCAGCTTTATTCATAATTGCCAAAAGTTAGAAGCAATTAAATGGCTTCAATTGGTGAATAAACAAACTGTGGTATACCTATATAATGGAATATTATTCAGTAATTTTTTTTAAAAAATGTACTATCAAGCTATGAAAAGACATAGAAACAAACAAAAAAGACCAAACTCACTGCCACCAATTTGATCCCAACTCATAGCGACCCCCCTTTGGGTTTCGGAGGCAGTAAATCTTTATAGAAGTAGACTGTCCAGTTTTCCTTCTGCAGACTGACTTGTGGGTTGGAGCCGCCAACCTTCTGGTTAGCAGTCAAATGCCTTAAGCACTGCACCAGAGTGCCATGAAAAGACATGGAGGACCCTTAAATGCATACTTCTAAGTGAACCAGTCTCTAAAGACTATACTATACGATTCCAACTATGTGACATTCTGGAAAAGGTAAAACTATTTGTTGTGCACTGTCAAGTCAATTCTGACTCATATCAATAATTCAGGACAGAGTAGAATTTCCCCAAATGGTTTCTAAGGCTGTAATCTTTACGGAAGCAGATCATGACATCTGAGAAATGATAAAAAGATGAGTGGCTGCGAAGGGTTCAGGGAGAGGAATGAAGGATGAATAGGTAAAGAAATAGGGTACTTTTAGGGCAGTAAAACTATTCTGAATGATACTATAGTGGCACATACATGACATTAAACATTTGTCAAAACACTTAGAACTACACAACACAAAGACTTAATTACATTGTAAACTATAGATTTTAATTAATAATAACTTAATCGATATTGGTTGATTAATTAAAATGTACTATGGGCAATCCTACTTCCGTAGTAATACTGCCTCAGAAACCCAAGGAGGGGTCGCTATGAGTCGGGGCCGACTCGGCGGCAAATAACAACAATACAGTAACGTACAAGAAGCTCTGGTGGTGTAGTTCCTAAGGCATCTGATTCGATGGCAGTGAGTTTTTTTTTTTTTTTTTTACTTTTTACAGTAATGCACAATTAATAACAGAGGGAAATGTGTAGAAGGGAGGGGTAACATGGGAATTGACTGTGCTTTGTGTGAATTTTTTCTATAACCTGAAAGTGCTCTAAAAAATAAAGGGCTATTAAAAAAAAAAGAATCAAAGAATGGGATTAAAATAAAAAGGAATAAAACAGGATACAAATACAAAAATACATAAAAAGATATTTTTGTCATTATTTTAAAGTTCTGAATTAAACCAAGTAAATAACAAAATATAGTTTGAACAGTCATAGGCCTGCCAATAACATGTGTGCTGCTTAGTGATCATTCTAAACTGTAAAGGACTTTTCATTTTTTATTTCCCTATCTTATTTCCTGGGCTTATTATGTTTTACTGGGTTTATATACTCTTTCTAACTTCGTTATTAAAGTAAATAAACCAAAAAGAAAAGGGGGAGAAAAAAAACCCACTGCCATCAAGTCAATTCCAACTCATAGCAACCCCCATTGGGTTTCTGAGGCGATAAATGTTTAAGGAAATAGATTGTCCAGTCTTCCTTCCCCAAAGTGACTAGTGAGTTTGAACTACCAACCTTCTGGTAGCAATGAGATGACTTAGGCACTGTGCTACCAGAGCTCCTTTAAAGTAAATAAAGAATTGTGTAATTAAATATTTCTTTCACCAAGTTTGACCATTTTCCTCCTGATGGCAAATATTTTAATGAGCTCCATGAAGTACTAGGCCTAGCCAAAATATTTTTTGAAAAATAAAACCAAAAATCCCATTGTTGTTGAGTCGATTCCAACTCATAGCAACCCTATAGGAGGACAGAATAGAATTGCCCCCCAGGGTTTCCAAGGCTGTAAATAGGAAGAACATTTTTTGAAGAATAAAGTATATTAAATATTGGTTAGGGGGTATTTCTTTCTTCCTTCTTATTCATTCATGGTGAGTAGAGCTGTCAAACTGAAAGAGATTTTAAAAGATACACCCACAATAGTTCTTGATTATATACATCAAAAAACATTTCCTCTATTTGATTTTGTTTAGGTATTTGTTTAAAATCTTGTAAGGCCTGTTAGAATTTTCACAATACTTTTCACTTCTAATCTAACATACGACTCACTGTGAAAATATTCAAACCCTTAAGCTTTCAAGTCAATATTTAATAAATGAGATTAATCTCTTCAAGAATCTTTAAACTTTATCAACGGCAAAAACCCCAGCATATACCAGAGCTTTGTCCTCCAGCACAAGACTTTTGCCAAAAGTAAAAGCACTCAATATATTATTTTAATAATGAAAACCTCAAGTATTAGAAACCAAGCTATGTGTGGAAAAAATAAATCATTTAGGTGAAAGGGTAACAAACATTCAATCCAAGGATAATGCAGCCCTGAGGGAAAATATGCATATGAATGAAGTTTATGAAATTGGTTCAATGCCTGTGCAAAGAAAAAAATAATTAGTTTATTTTAAAGCTGCCTATAAAATGTTTTCAATAATGTAATATGAATTATTTATAGAAAAATGTACATCTAACTTTAAAGCTACCATTTTATTGAAAATGCTTGAGTACTGTGGAAGGAACTAGAAACAGGAAAAAATCATTCCATGTATGTAATATTTAGGAAAATTCTTTTTATTTATTTGATATTCAAAACAGTTTTTATTATCAACCTGAACCATTAAGATCATATTCTATTCTTTTTTTCAAATTTAAGAAGTTAAATTGAGTGTGATATCAATTTAATTTTCAAATTTTACACAGAATGTCCTTTAAAATGAGCACGTATACTCTGAAATCATGACATTAATGAAAAGACCAAGCAAACATGTTTAAGGTTAAATAAGAAATCAAAATGTAATGTTTTTGAAGTTACTGCAGAAACTTATTAGGGAAGAGATTTGGATCTGAAGTTTTACTATAATGGTATGTACACTATAGAGAACTTTCAAATGGATCTAAGAGCTGCATATGTTTGGAATACTCCTTTTGAACAATTTTCTGATTAGCAGTTAATGTGCCACAGACTCTAGAGGGAGCCACACAGGACTTGGATATTGTAAGTTGCACTATAATTTTATGAATCTTTCTTGAGAGAATTATAATAAAATTCCCTGAACCCATGCCTTCCAAAAAATATGGCAAGTTACAGTTACCTACCTCTAATAACAGGCAAATTCAAACACAGAGGAAAACCATTATTTTTTTCAAAAGTCTCTTCTTAACATACCACACTTTACAACAAAAAACCAAGTAGCCCCAGAGAATGTGTACACTTTACTATGATTTGGTTAAAAAATAGATGTTATCAGGGCACCAATTAATTGAGTGATGGCTTCTTTGCTTTCTCCATTCTCAGTTAGTGACATAAGTCATCATCTCACTGACCTCTAGGTTAAAGATCAGAACTCTTCTGAAACTGTGTCATTCTGAGTGTGCAAGAAAGATACATATAATAATGACAAACAATTTAAAATAATAATATCTAAATTTAACCTACCTTATTGAAGCTCTACAATAAATATGAGAATTGTCAATTTATGAACACTAGAGGGCAGTAAAATACCAGAAGGTATATTTAAATTACAAATCTAAAAGTGGCAAAGGCAAGTGAGTACATTCTTTTTCTGGGGAAATAAAAATTGTATGAATTTAATATATGTATTCCTTTGTAGGTTGCTAAAGTACAAAGCATTGTTTAGTGTGTCATCTTAGGTGTAACTTACTTTGCAAAATCCAAATAAGAAACATGTCCATGGTAAAACCCTGGTTTCATCTCTTTCCAGGAAGTTACATTCTTTACAAAGCGCACCTAAAAAAGAGAGAACACAGTCATCACTTAAGTGTAATTTCAAGAAAACGAAATTTGTTATCAGCAAAGTACTTTCCACTTTTTGTTGTTGCTACGTGTCCTCGAGTCGGACCCGACTCATAGCGACCCCTCCTTGGGCTTCCGAGGCAGTATCACTAAGGAAGTAGATTGTCCAACCTTCCTTCCAAGGAGTGGCTGGTAGGTTTGAACTACCAGCCTTCTGGTTAGCAGTCAAGTGCCTTAGGCACTATGCTACCAGAGCTCCTACTTTCCACTTTAGTAGTTTAAAACCAATCACCTGAGGGTTACTGGGAAGTGAGAGGAGGAAAGTGGGTTAGGGTTGGGGACAGTAACTGGGGAGTGAAACCAAATGTACACGAAATGCTGAATGTAAAACAAATTCTGCTCTGTAAATTTGCACCTAAAGCACAAAACAAACAAACAAACAAAAACCCAATCACCATTTTGACAATTACAGAACTTTAAAACAGAGATTTAGACTAAAGATAGTACAATCTGTAACTATTAATTGATCACAGAGAGTGCTACTACTTATCATACTCAGAAAAAGTGACAGACAATTCTGAAAACACAATCACACAATACTAACAGTTAGGTAAGTACATTTAAATGTATGGATGAGTATATTTACACGGGTGTGTATGTGTGTGTGTATACCCTACCAGAACAAATGATGAAGTAGGCAGCACCGCACTGCAGTATAGAGACATTCTCTGCATGTTAAGACTTTTCTTCTCAGGAGCTTGTTACTAATAAAAATTCATTTAAGCCTAGAGACTCAAGAACAGTAAAACCCAAAACTAACAAACTCAAACAAAAATGATTAATGAGAGCATGAAGACAACTTTAAAGACTTAAGAGCAGATATCATAAGTAATTATTAAAAAAAGGAATAAAACTAGAGATATGTAGGTCAAATAAAAAACTGAAAAATATTAAAATATTACTTATTTTAATTTACTCAAGTTAAAGTTATACAAATAGTATAAAAACTCCTAAATATGTATATATAATTTAAAATGTGAATGATTAACGTAGAGAACTTGATAAATCTAAATAGCTTGCAAAGCAGTGATACACAATTTCTCAAATGAAAATCCTACAGATTTTTGATCAATGAATTTCTGTATGATACACACCAAATGCTTAAATATCTCTCTGGATACTACAGTATGTATGTATGTGTATGGGGTGGGTAGCAACACCCTATATTGTACTGAAAGCATCTGCAAGCTGTGACCTCAGCCTCTAAACACAGGATTCACTGCATAATTTTGACAATTTCTCACGCTCTCATTTTACATTTTAGAATAGAGCTGGACACACAGTGATATTTTTGGAGCACTTCATATAAGATGAGAGTCAATAAATTAATAGCAAGGAATGATGACAGCTGCCTCCTAGATAAAGACTATTGATAGGGCAGGGTAGGGAAACGGTGAAGCAGCAGCCACACTGCAGAGAAAATGAACTGGGAAACAACGCAAGGCTCTAGGAATAGAGTTTTTTTGTTGCTGTTTTTTAAAATAGTTTAAATTTTTATTTATTTTTTTAGAGTTCACTTTTTAGGGGAAGGATTAATGAAGCATACAGTGGGAGAAATAATAGACATTTTTATAAGGGAAATGAAGATATGACACTTATCTTAATATTCTTCCCACATACATAAACATCTTTAAAATAATATCTTAAAACTGAATGTGGATTTAAAAAAATGATATTGCATTAGAAAATATACAATCTCATTTTAGCAGGTATTTTCAATTTTTTCCTTACCAAAACAAAGAGCCAAATAAATAACGAGATTTGAGATTCTTATGTTCTTTTTCCCCATTTGTTCAAGTAAGGCACCAAACAGAATGAAAATATCAAATGGCAAATGAAAAAGAAAAGTCAGATAATCCAAAGATTGAATCCTTAAAAATTTTAAGTGTTGAATACAAAAGGTCTTTGTAACTGCCAATTACAAATCTTTGATTCTGTGAAAATCAGTTTCAATATTTCAATAAAAATAAAAGGGAAACAGAAGTAAAAGGCGGTAAGGAATTTGATGTGGTAGTTAAGACATATCTAACAACTCCGTTCTATTTTCCAGAAGTTGAGACTGAACAAGAATGAAGTGGTACAGGAGAGAAACAGAGGAAGGGGATCCTAGACTGAAGTTGGAGCAAGGTACTATGCCAAAGTTTGGGAACATCACAACACAAACTTGGAGCACACTGTGGTAATAAAAGACTAGGCAGCAATAAGAGCCAAATATATACTTCAAATACCCTGTTTCTTCCTCCTTTACCAAGGAGGGTCAATATTAAACTAAACCCTTGTAAGGATCCAACAAGTGTCTTTGGGTGTGAGGTGAAGAGCACCAGGAAGGCAGACAGTATCTGGATTACTGCAGGGTTTCTCAAACCTGAATGACAAATGGACCCTGAAAACTACTGTTAAAATGCAGATTCTGATTCAGCAGATCTGGAGTGGCGTCCAATACTCTACACTTCTAACAAGTCCCCAGGTGATGGCCATGTTGCTGGTCCATAGACCACACTGAGGAGCAGAGCTGCAGCAAGTGTGGGGCCCAGGAGCTGGCTGTTGGTTTTATTAACAGCAGGCTTGTTTTATAGAGCTTGCAGAGGAAGCCTGAGGTCTTATGGAAGTTCTTTAGCAAGGATATTCTCATATCCATTGTTTCTATGATATGAAAAGAAGTATATTCAAATAGAAAATTATTTTTTTAAAAAAGATTATCTTAGAAGGTACAGTAACACATCCAACAGCAGAGGGGGCAGGAGCACAGTAAACTCTGTCTACTCAAATCTCCTCCCAGGGCCCCAAACAGTAAGTACTTGAAGCCCAGCAGAATCAAAGCATTCAAAGAAACATAGTTAAAAACCAATGAAATAAAAAAAAAAGGTTTGTTTCTCCAGTTGGATTCTGGGAAGAGTGGTGAAGGCAGAGAACAGAACAAGGCATGAATCCTCCACTGCAGTCACCAATCTCAAACCCTGTTTGTAGACTCAAAATTTTAGAAGTACAAAGAGACTGGATATTCTATACTCTTCATTTTATAGATAAAAACCACAAAGCCACAGCCATCAAGTTGATTCCAACTCATAACAACCCCACTGGGTTTCCAAGGCTGTAAATCTTAATGGAAGTAGATTGCCTCATCTTCCCCCCTAACCCCACAGATCAGCTGATGCTAACTTCTTGTTAGCAGTCAAATGCATTACCCACTATACCACCAATACTCCTTTTTATAGATAAGGAAACGGAAATCCAAGAACCACATACCTTGGATTCTGGTCTAATCACCCTTCCATGCCACTAGGTAATAAACCTATTGTCTAACTTAAACAAGGGAGAAAAACAGAAGGGTCTGAAAGGAAAAACAGCATATATTATTGTTAGCATTATTATTCTGAACAACAAATTTAGACACTCAAATTTTCAGGTTTTACTACTTCTAAGGTAACCTCTCAGTTTCAGTCATTACTCAAAACTCCTCCACCTCTAAGTTCTGGAAGCTCTGTTGTTATACCTCTCTCCACATGAATTTGCACATGAATTTGCTCATCACCTTCATCATAATCTCATCATCCAATCCAACCTGCTCACCACTCTTACTGGATGGACAACCATTTCAACAATGACTCCTGGCCTACTCCCTTGACTTTTTATTATTTTGGATAACCCTAAGTGTTGCTGAGTGCTGATCAAAATCAAGACAGTAAGCTAAATATCTTTGTAGGATTTTTCAACTTATTTTCTATATTCATGTTTTCTGAGGTAAAATCAGGTATGTCATTAGCACTTTTAAAACCTCCAGACTCTATGATTGTTAAAGTTAAACACAGTGTTCCTCCAAATCTCCAACTAAAGGAATACCAAAAGCTGCATACTTTATGTATGTATTTTGTCTTTTACCTCATCAACATTTAACAGTAAAATCTCATTAATAAAACTGTGGCTGATTTATAATTTGCAATAAATCAAAAGATGTTGAGCTGAGGTTTACCTCCCCTTTATAGGGTCAAAAAAAGTGCTAAGTAAACAAATGATGTCAGAAAGGTTAAAGTTGCAATTTAGACTAGTCTGGAGAAGAGCCAAAGCATTTAGAATTATCATTTATAAACAAATGAAATTCCATACCATCTTTACTTCTTCAAAACTGATCTCCATGGACCTGAGCAATTTAAATCTACCTACTCTGAAGAATATTTTTGGAAAGTACCCTACCCCCCTGCCAAAGCATTAATTAAAGTACTTGTCTAATTAATATTTCTTATTAAATCATGTTTAATATTTATCCTCTTAGTTCTCCAGACTTTTTCCTGTTTCTACATTTATCTCTATTCTCTCCTGTTCATCAAGTCTGGCCCTCTTATCATTTTCTGCCTTCTCACCTCTGTTGCACCACTTGCTTTGTTTTTCAGTTTGGTTTCTTCTGGTTTTCCTTTACATTGGGGTATTCTGCCCAAGACCTCAAAATAGGACTCAGAAATACAGAATAAGGAGAGAAAATGGAGATTTGGTGAGTAAGCTTCTAGTCATGAATTCTACTTTATGAATTCTTACTGATTATACCCACTACTAATGAAAGGTAAAAGCAACAGGCAAAAAGAAGCACAATTTAGTAGCATCAAATGAAGTCAAGGAGAGACCGAAAACTCTGGCTTGGGGAAAAGAAATAAAGTTACCACAGTGATTTTATTCAAACAGAATTTTTATACTCTGATTGAAATAGGCTGTAAAGAAGGATGCTTCAGAAGTAGTAGTTAGATACAGTACATGAAAAAAGACATTTTTATGGGTAGCTTGGAGCAGATCCTTAACTGTGATTTTTGTCAGATTTTATAACTCAAGTAGAGTCAGGCTAGCAAGAAATCAGAAGAAACCTTTAGGGAAAACATAAGCAATGGAGGGAGTGCTGCTGTGATTTATTTGCTACTAGAATCAGACCTGAACCAGTGCTTAAGAGA